ACACTCACACACACACACACACATACACACACAAACACACACACACACACACACACACACACACATACACACACACACACAAACACACTGTCTTTGATTCTGTGTGCGTACAATTAATAGTTCTCAATAATTGTCCTTCCTTTGTTTTCACTTTCTCCTTATCTCCTTCTGTCGTCCTCTCAATTCACTGCCCTGCTTGCTTCAGGTGCATGTATCTATTCTTTCTCTCTCTCTCTCTCTCTCTCTCTCTCTCTCTCTCTGTCTCTCTCTCTTTCTCTCTCTCTTTCTCTCACACACACACACACTCTCTCTCTCGCCCTCTCTCTCTCGCCCTCTCTCTCTCCCTCTCCCTCCCCCCTCTCTCTCTTTTTCTTTGTTCCCTTCCCCCTTCTACTTTCATCCGCAAAATTCTTTTGAGGTTTTCTACAGCAGTCATTTGGATAAATTACCCAAAAGTAGCAGTGGTGGATACTTTTCATACTTTTATAATTTCGTTATTACAACGACATGAATGGGTTAATTGAAGACAGCACACGTGGTAGGTAATTTATCTTATTTTGATTATCAAATATACGAGTGAATTTAATCCTTTTTGTCGACTGTGTACGGGTCTGCAGGGCTCAGATAAGGTCAAACCTGGATCACAGCTAGGGCGAACCAGCGTCGAATTTCAAGCGAAAGAATTCATTATAGTTCTCTTAGTAATTGAGGAAACGTATGGCTCAAACCACAGCAAAACATAGCCATGACAACATTGCTATGTCATTCACACGACACCATATCACACCGTGCAATGCTGTTCCATACTATTATAATGCTGTATTTATTATACTGCAGTCTTGCCGCCCAGCCCACTGCCATACTATGGCATGTCATACCGTACAATAATATAATATCATCATCATCATCATCATCATCATCATCATCATCATCATCATCATCATCATCATCATCATCATCAGAGCTTGATCAAGAGGGAAATCAGAGACCCACCATGTAGAACTAAGTACCAGCACCTGGAAGATGTGTATTCTGGGTACTCCTATAAGCGCGAATAAAAATCTATCACATGTCGCTGGGACCAGGTTCAGCTAGCGAGACTGCGGTCGGACCATCATTGGAGTTTAAGATGGTATAAGAACTTTGTAAATGAAGAGCTCAGGCCATGTTGCCGAAGATGCGGTCATGAAAAGGAGGATATCAAACATATGTTTGAATGTCCAGGAACAATGGCAATTCGAATAAAGTTATTTGGATGAGTGGAGGTGCCTCTAAGCATATTGACAATGGAGCAGAAAAAGAGCCTCGCTCTCGCTCGAAGATATCTTCTTGGAGTCCGCCAGGCCCATTAAGGAAACAAACAAAAATCATCATCATCATCATCATCATCATCATCATCATCATCATCATCATCATCATGAAGTGCCTGATACAGACTTCGGCGATCATGATTTTTCCTTTCATTTCTCCGTTCACATGCTTTAAAAAATCCTATATTACTCTGGTGTTTCCCCGTCACTCATCATTTTAGATTTTCCAAATAAGTTTCCTAGGTCTGTCTCATTTGACTTCTATTTACCCAGTGAGACAAAGATGTTCAGACACGTTACTTTGAGTTAATTGTACTAGAAACTGCATTTTGTCGCTAATGAATTATTCTTATTGATCAGCGACCGAAGTGCGCCAGTCCATGAAATTCTCAAAAGTCTCACATGAAACCACATTTCTGTTGCCTGTATTTCATTGCCACAATCAATAGAAATATAGAAAAATGTCCAGGTCTCAAAGGAATGGTGAAAGTATTTTTAACATGAGATATGTCATGTATCCTATCTTTCCTATCTTATCCTATCAAATATCATATCAGACCTCACTATACCATGCGATTATATTACCATCAACCAGACCTCTGTGATGACCCTTCGAACAATCTACTTTTCTAGAGTTTTAATAACCACCATGTACTTCATTCGTTTTGACAGCCGGCGTCTTGGGCATTACGTCTCTGTACCTCTCGGTACGTCTGGCCCACTCCAGTCTTACGAACAAACTTTGGGCTCGGGCAGCACACATGCGCAGTCAGGCACATGCTTCAGAAGACGAGGATGAACTGAAGAGCTCCGGGGGGGAACATGAGGACGAGAAGGTACCCAAGGCTTCCACCTAAGCACCTCACGGACATTGTTAACGTTTCAGAAAACAACGGTTTTCCAAATATTTTAACATAGCTTTAGAAAAAAAAATTTTGCATTTAAATGTTCGTGTCTTTGCATATTTTATGTGCATACGTTTGCTTCTATTAGAAGATTTCAATAAAATAATCCTGCTTTTCTGATTTCTAGAAGCATTATATGTTAAGATTTTCAGATCTCTCTCTCTCTCTCTCTCATTTACTCTCTCTCTCTCTCTCTCTCTCTCTCTCTTTCTTTCTCTCTCTCTCTCTCTCTCTTTCTCTCTCTCTCTCTCTCTCTCTCT